ACCAAAAATTCAAGACAAAGAATTTTTAGAACGGAAGATCCTCCGGACAATCTTTGGGCGTTGTAGAGACGAGACAACAGGAGAGTGAAGACGAACACACAACCATGAATCCCAAGCACTCCATGGAGATGAAAACATTGTACGTTACATCAAAGCAAATCGTATAAGATGGGTAGGATATGTACTAAAATCAATTGATGAAAGACTACTAAATACAACCTTCCAGAAAAGTCCCGCTAGCAGTTCAGTTGGTCTCCTAAGAAAAATATGGAAGTATGCAGTTACGGTAATATGGGGATGCAACAATGGGAGATTGCTGAACAAGAACGTCAAGTTTGGAGGAAAATAATAAACGCGGCCAAGACACTTATAGTTGTAGAATTAGTAAAGAAGAAGTTTCGTCTCATCTCATCTATGTCTATATCTCCCTTCGGGCTATTAAGCTGTAGTGCTACTCCAACAGCTTGGAACTGTAAACCGTTTCTTAAGCCAGTAGAAAAGGACAAAATAGTAACTTATGGACACCAGAGGATAAAGGAATTGATGGTAACGAAATGGTTGTCAGCTTTCTGGAAGAAGATCTACCTGCTTCAAAGGAAAAATAGTAACACAAACACAATAGTAAGACAAAATAGTAACTTATGGACACCAGAGGATAAAGGAATTGATGGTAACGAGATGGTTGTCAGCTTTCTGGTAGATCTACCTGCTTCCAAATCAATTATAGCAGCCTACATATACAATACGTCAGATTTTTTGCGCCGTGTTTTAAAACCTCAGAAGAAATGACATATGCTACAGCAACTTTGTTTTCTTCTATAGTTAGAAGGATTAGATTAATTGCAGTATGTTCTGTCGTCTTTCTAGCAATCTTCTTTGGAGTCTACCCGAGTCACTTCTTGCTCCTGGTTTTTAGTTAAGTAATTGTTTGATTATTCTGTGTTCCTGTGGGAATAATGTGTTCCCCCATTTTAAATAATTTTTATTTATTCTGTAGTTCATTGAGAGGTTTAATTCCGCACTTATGTCGTCATTTCTTATATGATCCCGCACAGTGCAGCCTTTTGTTCTTCTTAAAAATTTCATTTTAACAGATTGTATAAGTTGAATATTTATTTTTTGGAGTACCCAAGTTTCACTTTTGTATGTCAATAATGCCAGCGCTTTTATTTTTCTTTTTTTACTTGTCTTGTTTTGTAGTATTCTTTGTGTAGTTAACAATAATTGATATTTATGTAGTTTATTTGTTATATATCTTTTATATTCGTCACTTTATTATTATTGTTTTCTTTCAATTTTTTATTGTTTTAATGATCCCCTCTGTTGGGATGTTATATTTCTCTCTTTCGTATTCAATCTCTTCAAGCTGAATTTCTGCTTCTTGCATCCCTATCTTACTTCTTACATTTAGTCTCTCCTCTTTTTGACCACATCCTTTATTTTTTCTGCCGTACATGGCCTGATCATCATATCTCCCATTCTGTTTATAACTACTGATAATCGTGATTTGAATTTTTTTCCATTCTGGTTAACCCTCACTATTATCATGGAATAAAATTAAGATATGATTAAGCTATGATGGTAACCATCATTCTGAAAGGTCATGGTAGATGAAGAAGATAACTTTTCCGACAATAGAAACTAGGCTGATTGGACGATAATTATTGTAATCAAGTTTGTTTCCTTTCTTAAATATGGGAGTGACCGACGCCAATTTCCAGGACGAGGGTAGAAAACCCTGATTAAAAAAAGCATTCATTTTGAGGGATATAAGGATTTCTACAGACTCTGCACATTGTTTAAGGAAAAAGAAGGATAGTTTGTCTAATACAGCTGATAATTTATTGTGTAGTTTCCATAAATGATGTTTAATTGCATTCTGTGTGATAGAAATATTATCAAGAGTTATAAGAAGACGTGAACACAATATTTGAGGAAATGTATCGTTAGGTTTATCTATAAAATCCTGAAAAAAAGTAACGATAAACAGGCCAAAGATTCATTATCCGAAGAACCTAAAGATCTGTCAGCTTTTTGAAGTAATTTTATGGAGACTTTAGAAAATAAATATGTGCAAATGTACCGATAATTTTTTTTACTGTTCACACTTGCAATGATGGATGCACCCGAAGAGCAAAAGAGGAATACCGGAGCGGTGAGCGGAAAATCATTAATGGAACCAGTGAGTTTATGTTTGCCAAAGTTTTTGTAATATATAGAATATTTATTTAAAAATGGAGTTACTGCTACAAATAAGATGATAACTTTTATTAGTGAAATGATTAATGGCGAAAAGCAATAATTATAAGTATCTAAAATCTAAAGAAGAGCTGTTTGAATGTTTAGGTAGGATATCCAAATAAGTCGACAAAGCATAGAGATAGCAGCAAAGGAAATGATTATAATGATTATGTGTTTATTTTAATCTTTATGTTTTAGACGAGTTTCCTTTTATGGCCATTCTAGGATACAGAAATAAACTTAACCCAACTATTCCAAAATGGCTATGTGGTGGTACTTTGATAACAGAAAAGCATGTATTGACGGCTGCTCATTGTGCCTATAACAGAAATGATTTGTAAGTATACAGTTTTTTACAGAATTTTTAACCCTGCAGGACTCCCTTTTTAATTTCAGTTTCTTCAGATATAGTATCTTATACTTTAAAGTTCGCTTTTTGTTGTCAATATAGAGTTTGGATGATTCTGATATCTTTTTTTCTATTCTATTCTTATTTAAACATTTGGCTGTATTGTGACTGACACGGTCAAAGGCTTTTTTTAGGTTCACAAAACAAATAAACTCATTTTTGTGCTGCTATTGAAACTTTTTGGTTAGAAATTTTAGACTAAACATTTTATTTACTTTAACCAAACATTATTTTGATGTATGAAAATTTGAGAATATAATGTTTTTTTACATTGATTTTAGGTATTTGGTTAGAGTTGGGGAGCTAATACTTTATGATGACATGGACAGTGCTTCTCCTGAAGATATATCCATCTCGAAGATAAAAATGCATGAAAGTTTCAGTCCTACTGAATTTACCAATGATATTGCAATAATAACATTATCAAAAAAACCTAAAAATCGTAAGTATATAAAAAAATTAATATTACATATCAAGAAAAAAACAAGCAACATCAACCAGTACTGGCCATGCTAGGCCATTTGTAATTTAGATATCTGTTGGTGTGTGTTCGTTTTCTATATACCTGAGTCTCATATCCAGTATCGTTGATAGAGATAAAAAATTAAGGAAAAGTAGTAGGTTATTATATTCTATTCCCATGGTAAATGTTATTGTCTCTTCTGTATCGTTTATATCATTTTGGAATCTATCCAACAACTCTGATCCATGACGCCATATTGAGAATACATTATTCTTATATCTCCACCGTATTGCGAGTTTTAAATTTTGTTTAAAAATAATATTTTTTGTTTAAAAATCTTCCATAAACATATCGGCTAATAATATAAATAATATATTAACATTTACATACTGATAGCCACAGATGTTCGTTAAATTCCTATAACAACGACTTTACATTAATTTTCGTAGAGGGTTAAAAATGCAACCAGAATAGCAAAATATTTAAGAAAATAGATAATTATAAATTCATGAAATGGTTTACTTTATTTTTTAATAAATTCGACAACTTAGTCGAAAGATATCGTATTTAAGTACCTACATAACAAAAAAACTATAAAATCGATTATAAACAATTATTGCAGTAGAGTTCAGCACTTAAACTGAATTCTAAGTGTTTTAGCTGAGTTGGTACCATTGGTATCAATAGTACCGTCTATAGGTACTATTTTAATCATAATGTAATCTCGACTATTAAAGTAAAAAATGTCGTATTCTAAATGTTTATAGTATTTTAAAGGAATTGTTTTAATACTATAAATGAGTATAATAAACGGAACAAGGTTTTTTTCCACTTTCTCAACTCTTTTTGAAGCAGGTATTATTTTAATGAAGGAACTGATTTTGTAGGTATCTAAAAAATGAGATTTGATTTGTTGGAATGTAAAAATTATAGGGCTATTCTGAACACAGTATACAAAATTCTCTTTAACACCCTATACAGCCGTTTATAGGCCAGATAGATTAACATTTGACCAGATTTTCGCGATACGTCAAATCTTGGAAAAAACCAATGAATTTTCCATTGATACGTTTTATCTTCTTGTGAACTTTGTCAGTGTACGATAGCGTCTCAATACGCTCGATACGCTACGATAGGAGCTTAAACCTGGACAGTCACTAAAATAAACATGGAGAAGATCAGAAAAACTCAGAGAGCTATGTACCGACAGATGCTGGGTATCTCACTCAAAGACCATAAAACCAATGAAGATATTCGTAATAGAACAAAAGTAAAAGATGCTGTCGAACAGGCAGCTAAACTGAAATGGAAATGGGCTGGACATAACGAACGTCTTACGGATGGTCAATGGAATAAAAAAATTGGGAATTGGCGGCCATATGAAGCCAAAAGACGACGAGGAAGACCTCAAATGCGTTGGAGCAACGATAATAAAAGAACTACAGAACCAATGTGGAAACGTCTTACAAACAACAGAGATAAATGGCGAGAATTAGGAGAGGCCTATATTCGGCAAACCGAATAGAGAGAAGGCTTAAAAAAAACGTTTCATCCCTTTGTGAACTTTGTCAACGTACGATAGCGTCTTAAGATGTAAATTATATGAAGCCATGAATGAGTTTAACTCATCATCACATACGGATGAAGAAGTGGATATATTCTACGAATCATTGACACAAACAGTGAACAAATACAAAAGCACATACACAATCATTATAGGCGACTTCAATGCCAAATTAGGGAGAAAACTAGAAGAATCAGAAAATAAAATCGGCAACTTTGGATATGGAACACGAAACGAAAGAGGAGAAACATTAATGAACTATATGGAAACGAACGGTCTATATGCGATGAATACCTTTTTCAATAAAAAACCACAGAGAAAATGGACGTGGGTCGCGCCCAATGGTTTAACAAAAAATGAGATTTATTACATCCTATCCAAAGAAAAGAGCATAGTACAAGACGTTACGGTCATAAACATGATTTCCATAGGAAGTGATCACAGAATTGTTAGAGCCAAAATCAAAATTAACTCCACAACAGACAGACAAAAATTTAAACCATCTAAAAAAGAGATAGATACAGAACTTCTTAAAGAACGCAAAGAACAATACATAAACCAGCTAAAAAGAAGTGACATATCACAGCTAAAGGGTCTGCAACTAGACGAATTAAACGATAAAATAACAACAGAACTACTAGAAGCAGGCCTGAAGATTGCTAATAAACAAAAGCGAAAACAACAAAAAATTAGCGCTAAATCACAAGATATGCTAAAAAAACGACGACAACTACTGAATGATAACAAAAGAAATACAGTGGAGTATACCGAACTGAATAAAACCATAAGAAAACAGATAAAGGAAGATTTAAAGAAATACCAAGAAAACCGCATTAAGAAAATCATAGAGAAGAACAAAAGTTTAAAAACAATGAAGACAAATATAGGAAAAAGAAAACTAATCATGCTTAAAGCTGAGAACAATAAAGAAAGAAATCTAGGAGAAATAGTAAAAATCACAGAAAGATATTACACAGACCTATACAGTTCTAAAAATGACCCACCACTATCATCTAAACAGAATCTCACGAGGAAAATACAAAATGTTGGCTCAGAGATATTACCAGAAATAACTGAAGATGAAATCGAAAAATCCATAAACAACATGAAAAGAAATAAAGCGGCCGGTGAGGACAAAATACTGGCGGAACTGCTAAAAGAAGGAGGAGACACGATAAAAAAAAATGCTAAAAATACTGTTCAACAAATGTCTGTTTGAAGGTAAAATACCTAAACAATGGAGAAATGCCAACACAATCTTAATACATAAGCAAGGAGACCGAACAGACCTAAACAACTACCGTCCTATTTCCCTTTTGTCACAACTATATAAAACCTTCACAAGAATAATAAACAACCGACTAACCTATAAACTTGATAACTACCAACCAGTGGAACAGGCCGGATTCAGAAAAGGATACAGCACAATCGACCATCTACATACGCTTAAAATCTTAATTGAGAAAACCAATGAATACAACCTTCCGCTGTACTTAGCATTCGTAGATTATGAAAAGGCTTTCGACAGCATTGAACACTGGGCGGTTGAAGAAGCTCTGGTCAATAGTAGAATAGATTCAAGATACCGACAATTGATACATGATATTTACCAAAACGCAACTATGACCGTAATTCTGGACGACAAATTAATAACGGATAATATAAAAGTTAAACGAGGAGTCCGACAAGGCGATATAATTTCACCTAAACTGTTAACTTGACCCTCGAAGACATAATAAAATCAACAGATTGGGAAAACAGAGGAATATGTATTAACGGAAAATACCTAAATCACCTTAGATATGCGGATGATATACTCCTGATCTCCTCGGAACGACAAGAACTGGAATTAATGCTGAATGAACTTCATGAAAAATAACTGCAAAAAGGCCTAAAAAATAACTTCAACAAAACAAAAGTAATGACAAACACGGAAGACCAAGAGAAAATAAAAATAAAAACAGAAAAAGTAAAACAGGTAAATGAGTATATCTATGTACGACAAGCAATCAGAGCTAATAGAGAAAATCAAACAGCCGAAATATCGAGACGAGTAAGAATGGGATGGGCAGCGTTCGGCAAACTTTCTTACGTTCTAAAAAATCAAACAATCCCTCTATACTTACGAAGCAAGGTATATAATTCCTGTATCATACCGGTGCTCACCTACGGAGCACAGACATGGACATGTACACAGGCCAATTTGGATAGGATAAGGAAGGCACAAAGAGCGATGGAGAGACAAATGTTGGGTGTATCACTTAGAGATAGAAAACGTAACCAGTGGATCAGAACCAGAACAAAGACAGTAGACGCGTTAGAACAAGCAGCAAAACTGAAATGGAAATGGGCTGGACACAATGAACGTCTCCAAGACGGACGATGGAACAATGCCATCGGAAAGTGGCGTCCTTACAATGCAAAGAGATCAAGAGGCAGACCACAGATGAGGTGGAAAGATGACATCAGGAAACAAGGAGGTCCCACATGGCAGAGAACAGCTCAAGATAGGGAAAGATGGAGAGAACTGGGGGAGACCTATATCCAACAATGGAAGGATAGAGAATAGGTTCAAAACAAAAAAAAAAATACATAATAAGACTTGTCAAAACAACTATAAGTAAAGTGATCTGCAGAGTGCAAATACAAGGCGATCTGTCACAAGCCTTTAAAACATATGGGGGGTTACGGCAGGGAGATGTGTTGGCGTGTCTTCTCTTTATCATAGCATTACAAAAGACTATTTCAAGATTTCGAGTTACACAACAATAGAACATTCTTTAATAAGTCAATGTACATTAAGGCTTAAGCTGACTATTTGGATTTGATGGAATGCACTACACGATGGTTACTACTTGACGGTCACACAAAATATGGGCCTTAATATAAACTAGGAAAAAACCAAAATGTTGGCGTCGATGCCAAATAACAGAGTTAGAAATGCTGAATAAGACTTTGTCACACACCACTATGATTTTGAGGTAGTAAATAAGTTTACTCATCTGGGTACTCTCATAAGTGATAATGACACATCTGAAGAAGTAAAACGAAGGGTATTCATAGCGGACAAATGTTGTTTTGACTAAATATAAATAGCAAAAAATAGGAATTTAGACCAAAAAAAACGAAACTAACACTATATAGAACATTCATCCTATCATGCTGAGATTTGGATCAGAAACATAAATTCTTAATTTCTTCCTTCATATGTAAATAATAACAATTAACGATAGTTGAATGTTTTTGCACCCCTACTGATACATGCTTTTAGCTAAAATTTTTACTTTTACTAGGAGCCAAGTGGAGTACATACAAACTGTAATAAAAAAATTCGCCCATAATTAAAAATGTCTTAAGGTCGTGGCATCTTATCGTGCACGTAGCATTTAGTTTCCGAAAAATATAATTTAAATGG